CCGAGGCTGTGCCAAAAAACCGTCTCCCCTCGGTTTCGCAAGGAGCGCCCCTGCCTGTATTTGGAGCCTGTCTCTGTCGTGTGCCTCCTCCTCGCTCCTTTTACTTGGAGACCCTCAGGAGGGTGCAGAGACGCCGCTCGACAACTCTTATCGCCGCACACACACGCTCTCATGCATACACACATCCCAGTTTATCTGGCGAGGGCACACGTGTTTGCGCCGTCCTGCAAACGCGGTTACTGTGAGTTAGCGACACATTCAGCATGTACTGCTTTAATAATCATCATCATCATCATCATCATCATCAACAGTTACCGTCATCGTTCCGGCCTCGGCAGACATTCCAGCTGATTGACATCAAAGAAAGAAATTATGGTGTGGGTGTTGTGTTAAATCTTCCTCCAAAAAGTCCCTCTCCTTCCCATTTCTCTTCTTCTTTTCTGTACTTAATAGCACTTATTGAAGGGTATTACAGTTGGCGCTCTACATGGGGCATCGCATTAAAACCCTCTTTTCAAACATACACGCGCACATTCGGCAGTCCATTTGGATTCATTTGCATGGCATTTCATTTGGATTTTGCCTCAATCGACGGTTTGGGGGGGAGGATAAAAAAGAATCTTTGTGTAATAGCATTTCCTCTTAGTCTCCAGTGCGCCATAAAGACGGAAAGTACGGCGGCCGGAGCGGATAAATGAGTGCAGCGCTGCCATGAGAAGACCCGTCCCTCAGGCCTACAAACGATAGCTATTGGAGTTAATTACAGTTTACATCATCATATTTACCCAGAGAAGAGAAACAGAGAATAAAACTGGCCTCTGAGCACACAGAGGTGTTATTTCTGCATATACGGTAGCAGACTGGAGTGGAGTACGGTCTTAGCTGTGTGCAGCACTGTAATGGGTTTTACTCTTGACCTGCAGGTCCTGTATGGATACATATATATATATAAGCTGGTAAAAGCATTAATACCGTAAGAAAATACAAAAGCATAGGTGCAATTTTTTGTTCGACTATGCTCATACTGTGACTACATATGCACCCAAAAGACGTCCCGGTTACACAATGCATGTGTGTGTCGCTACCTCGTGAGCGCTATTCAATCTGTGGTGTCCACAACATTAAAAATGACATTTAAATAATTCAGTAGCATCACTTCCAGAAACTGAGGGAGTCCTCATGAACACTGTTGACAGCTGTTCTGTGATTATCCACAGTAATAGGAACACTGTCTCAAAAAAAATGTCGCTGTTGAATTTTTTAAACGTCATTTGTCAACTACGCCGCGAGCGCCGCGAACTAAATCCTGTTCACCTCCGCCGTGGTGTAGGGCAGCAGAAATTACACACAGATTATCTCTCGGCTTGGAAAAAAAAAGTAACCCGTGACCTGTTGAGGTGACGCAAAATATTTGTGATTTAAGTCAGCTGATGGTGCAACATATACATATGACTCTTAATGCAGTTTTAGCTGTTTTATTGTAAAACATGGCAGCTTTTCATAAAACACACATTTTTCTTGCTCAAGTTTTGAACACTTATGACGCTCACATGGCCGAGCCAGAATCTCTAAGTGGATTAGTTCTTACAATTGGCGCTGGGTTATAAAATTTGTAACAGAAAGTCAGTGTTTTGGTTGTGAGCAGCCATAAGGGAGGGGTTTTTTTTTTTTTGAGTGCTACCCCTCACAGTGCTCAGTTGCTGTATTTGAGTGTGTGTTTCAGGCTCTAGTTAGCTGGCTATCCATCTGGTGCAGAGCCCTCAGCCATACTATGCCTCTGACTGGGGCAGACAGAGAGAGACAGGAAAAAAAAAAAACACTTGATGTGAGTGTGTGTGAGTGTGTGTATGTGTGTGTGGACATGATAGAGGGAACAAGAGGGGAGGAAAGAGACAAGTTTCTCCGGTCGCTCTCTTTTTCCTGTAGCCCACAGGAAGCTGCAGCCATTGGCTCCTCCCTGTCTAGACAGAAGAGCACTTTTGCACACACACACACACACACACATACACTCGGTGCCTTCTACCATAGCAACTTTGATTAATTCCCAGTGTGAGAGGAGACAACATCAGCACCGTGGTCAGGGGGAAAAAGGCCCACAGTCTGCTGGATGTGACAGCTCCCTGCTTCACACTGATGCCTTGTGCGAGCGTGAGAGCAGGTCAGTAGTATAAGTGAAGAATAGGATGAGGAGCGTGTGTGTGTGTGTGTGTGTGTGTGTGTGTGTGTGTGTGTGTGCGCACGGCCTCATCTGTCCCCTCGGCCGCATCAGTGCTCAAGCATGTCTTGCTGTGACAGCCCAGCAGCCTGTGTTCCCGTCACACACACACAAACTGAGGGAGCACTAAACGAGAGTGCAGGCAGGCACCAACACCAGCGAGGTGAAGGGTCACGAGTGACTACCTCTCCAATGTTGTGTGAAATGTGTAGATGGCAGTCTCGGCCCATTATGTGTGTGTGTATATGCGACTGTACGTGTGTGTGTGTGTGTGTGTCTTGAGGCGGGAGTGGTGTTGGGGGGGGGGCATCTCAAAGTAACTGGTTATTATCACCTCAATATTTTTCTTATTATGACAATTACATGCTCCAGGAGCGAATTAAGCGATACAGGACGCCAAGCGGGAGTGGTTGACAGCTATTTGGAGACTCAATGCACAGAGCAATTTGCAGCCCCGAGCCAAACAAATTGGATTTGGGCCACTTTGGATTGGGGCCCCAGATTGTTGGGCGTTTGGATCCTCCGACCGCATGCCTGCCTGGCTGGTTAGCTGACTGGCTGGCTTTGATTCTTTACACATGACTATGTAGCAGACAGTTAGCCAGGTAACACAGCGCTCCGTGGCCGTTGACAAGGATTAAGTGTCGTAGAAGGAGGGTGTGTGTGTTGATAAATGCATTATACTGCTGATGGGGTTTTTACTATTGACGTTTTTATATAGTCTGCGCTTGTTAAGCTTTCCCACCTTTTCATGTTATAAAGTGCTGCTACTTTTTTTGGTCTTGGGCCACACAGCTGTGCTCAAGTGTGTGTATAATCCAAATGAGCCTAACAGCCTCTAAACGAATTACTGGTACGCATTTTCCCACCCCTAAACTGCCACTGGAAAAGCTGGCAACAGCACCCAATTAGGTGAAATGCAATTATTCCCATCCATTCACACAATTAGCCTGTGGGTTAACAGCCTAGCTGTACATCCGGCTAGCAGTGTTTTGGAAAAGCCATCTCCATGGTTACGCCGACTCTCACGGTAACCTCGGCGTGTCAAATGGCACGCACCCGAGGCAGCCGGTCAGTCAAAAAATAACATTCAGCCCCATTGGTGCAGGCAGCGCATTACATCACTCAGCTCAGAATACCGGGTGATTTGATTGGCCGAGACAGGGAGTGGTACCATGGGTGAGGAAGAGGAAAAGAAAGAGAGGGAGAGAGAGAGAGAGACGAAAGCAAGTGCCCCATGTGCTCAGTCGAGCGAGGGTAGATAATGCCAGGCGACAGACTGGCAGGCTGGCAGAGCGGGTGGGCACTCACAGCAGCATGATGGAAAACAAAGGCTTTGTGTGTCACTGCCGAGATCGCATTAACCAAAACAAGCAGCCATGGACAGACTGCCACACTGACTTGGTTGTCTGTTCCACGGGCTAAGCCATGCATGATGGATGGGAAGAGATGGGGGACGCCTGTCTCACTTTTTATGTGATATTACATGGTGCTAGGGTAATGAGAAAAAGTAGTTTTTGCTGTGACACAGAAGTGATTTTGCGTCAGAGCTGGATGGATTCAAAACACATGCCTTCTCTGACAGCTAGTGCTCTCAAGACATGCAGGTTTTGGCAGATATTTGTAGCGTTTGCTCTGGTGTTCTAGGACTGAAACTTGGGACATTTTCATATGATTTGAATCCACAGTCTACAGACACTGAAACCTGAACCACCGTGACACTGTCCAGTAGCGTGTTGTCGTGGCATCACATAGCAACAAGCACGCAAAATAAGTCTAAAAATATGGCGGCGGCGTTCCTTTTCTTCTCCAGTTGTGGAGTTTATTTTGAGATCCTGTAGTGTAGCTCCGTGTGACTCAGACGGACACGTATCTGTCTGCGGTGACAGTGATGGTTGCGGAGGGCTCAGGTGGGACAGGAGTGGAGGGTCAACAGGCCTGGCATGGCAGGTAGGATCAGCTGGCATACACCCGCAACTCCTCCTTTCCCTCCCCGAGCGGGCACCAGCCAGGAGACCGGGGTCACTTACAGGTGACTTCCCCCATAGTCATGTACAGCTGGGGCACAGCCGCCGCTCCGTGGATATGTGTGTGTTAGTGTGTGTGATGTGTGGTTAGTGGGCAGCCATCACATTTCATCACATCTCATCTCATCTCATCACATCTGCTCCTCTCCTCACTTCAATCACTGTCTCTCCTCCATCTTTCATTGTCATCTTTTCCTCCTCCCGTGCCTTTCATGTCGTCTGTATGCTGTCAGCGGTATTATCGGGGATTCTCTGGAATCGTTTTAGAAGGGGGAATACCTACTTAGTGCGCGCACACACACAAATCCACAGTCCTGCGCTCACCACAAGGAATAAAAACTGTAATATGAACTCACCCTTGGTCTGAATGAAAGCCCATTACAATTTATTTTCACCACAGCAGCCAGTGTAGTGGCTTCTTTCTTTTTTTTTTGTTGCTCTTCTGCCATATTAACCGCTGTCACTGAGACTGAGGAGGATTTTGAGGGGTGCAGTCGCTCACCGAAAAAGTCAGTGAATCTGGAACTTCTTGCATCTTTGCATCCTGTGTTCTGGCTTTACAAACCACACTTGTGTGTATCTCCGCCGTGCTAAAATAGCTGCAGTGGCGCTACTTTACGATGACATAATTTGCACTGGGAAAATTTTGTGCTTGCTTGAGCTTACATTTAAATGTGCCACCTGCTGCATGTCAGCTCTCATCAAACGCTTGGGTGAGCTTCATAAATACTCACTGCGAGTCTTTTCTTCTGTTCCAGGACCTGTCTGGCTCGATTGATGACCTCCCCACTGGGACGGAGGCCGGTCTGGGCTCAGCCGTCGGCGCTGGAGGCTCCTCCAGCAGCAGCAGCAGTAGCCAGGGGGAGCAGGGAGGCACGAGTAACCAGGGACAGTCCCCCTTCTCCCCTCACGCCTCCCCGCACCTCCCCAGCCAGAGGAGCGGGCCCTCACCCTCCCCGGTCGGCTCCCCGGCGGGCTCCACTCAGTCCCAGCAGTCCCGGTCGGGCTCCGGACCCATCTCTCCGGCCAGCGGACCCTCCGCCAACACCGCGGCGCCAGGTAGGGCTTACCACGGGAGTCCTCTAGAAGAACGCGCGTCTGGATAATCTGATTTTACGTTGATGAAAGGTGCAACTTAGAACACGATAATTGTATTAGTTTAATCACCACAAACAAAACAAAACTGCCGGTGACAAGATTTGCCTTTGAAACCAGACACTACATTGCATTTGACATCATGTTCCGGCGTGTTGGATTCCCTGGGAAATTTGCAAAATTGCTTTACAGCTTAAAGGGAAATTGCTTTGTGCCACCAAACAAGACACTGCTGTTGGAAAGCAAATTATGCAGCAAATAGTCAAAACATACCGCAGTCGGCGAAGTCACGTCAGGTTGGATTGGCTTTGACAGCTGATGAAAAGCAGCGATCGGGGTGTGGCCACAACCCAATTTTTTTCTCGCTATTTTTTTTTTATTTTCCGGTTTTAAAAATGACACTGGGATCATGTTTGTGGCAGCATTAGTAAACTTGTTGCTTCTGGAAGCATATCACAGTCATCACACCTACATTTCTGCTTGACCTTTTACATCTATACTGCTGTTTTTTTAAATATGTGCATTTAAAGAGGATTTTAAAAAGGTCATGTAGAAAACTGATGGGAAATAGGTTTACACATTTGCACAAATAACAACATGCCAACATTTAAATGTGTTTGCATAGCAGGAATAAAGCGTCGCATGTTTCTGTAGCCAAACAGCAACATCACAGCAGGAATAAAGTTTTATTCTAATCAGTGTCTTGATTTTAACCCATAATCATATGTTAGACAACCACTTTTTAGAGCAGTCCAGATAACCCGCAAGCATAAAGATGGCAAAATCTTTGTTTAATAGCATCTCTCTCTTTCTCTCTCTCTCTTTTTTTTTTTTTTTTTCCTCATCTCCAATCCACCGTATAATCCGTCCAGATCAATTTTCATTCTGCCAGTTTGGACGAAGGATGAAGCTGAGAACACACTGCGGCAGAAGGCCAAATAATATCAATCCAGCATGTCTAGACTTTGATATCTCTGGTCCATTTGAAATCATAATTCAAACCGCTGAAGAATATTACGGCGTAGTGCCGAGCACTTCATGGAATATGTCTCATTCATTTTCTTCACACAGTTTTTGTCCTCGCATAGTAGAGATTTGTTAAGTCTTTGATCACGCCGCTGTACGGACGCGTCCCTACATTGCGGTGGAATTTTAATAAAGTCCACCCCTCTACCCGCTACCTGTGGATCGCACCAACGTTTCTGTCCAGACAAACATTTCCCCATCCGCTCTGGGTCCTAATGAATTGAGACTGACTGGTTGTGGAGGACCTCCCATCTGATTTGTAGCCTTATCTGAGATATGGCAGCCTAAACAAGACACCAACAGGATTATCAGACAATGCACGGTGTGTCTGTCTGTCTCCTGAGGCCATAGCAGAGCACATAACCATTTAGATAAACACTGAGCATTATAAACGAGTGGGGGATTTGATTTGCCTCAAACTGGGCCTACGAATGTGTGTGTGCGCGGTGTGTGTGTGTGTGTGTGTGTGTGTGTGGCCTCTCCCGTCATCTTGCCACCTCTCTTCCCGACTGAGCGGCTGACCGACGCATCAGCATGTCTCAGACCTGTCAGTCACTCTGACGAGGCGGGGCAAAGTGTCTTGAGTGAGATCCCGACGCCGGCACCTCCTCCTCCTCCTCCTCCTCCTCCTCCTCCTCTTCTTCTCCTAGCAGCCGCTTACCAAAGTGATTGACGCTAATGAAAAACTGGGACAGTGGTTTTCCAGGCGCCCGTGCCAAGAATCATGACGAGAATCCGGAATGAGGCGGCAAAGATGGGAAGCGAAACCGATCGCTGGGACGTGATTAATAAGAAAATATTTAAAAATATTCCCCATGCCAAATAAATGGTGATAAAGCGTGGAGCAGTGAGTAACATCTGGCATGTTTTAGCGGCTGTACTACAATCAGTTTGAATTAGATCAAGGAGCAGCCAGCCTAAGAGAGACACAGGAGAACTAATGTGGTTAGCACACATCTGATTACTAACGCTCCGCTCTCTAACACTTCATCACAAGTTAGGACACTTTAGTTAATGTTGTCGTTTTAGTTCGGTGCAAGTCAGTGAGGAGGAGAAGGGAGCGAGGGAGTCGGCTGTGTGTTGGTGCTCGCTGCTGTTGCTTCTGTGCCCTCATAAAAAAATAAAAAAAAAAGGTCTTTATTATTCAAACCACTAAATAAACATAATAAGACAAACATTAATAAGCTAATTAATTAGTGTGAGAAACGTGTCTGCAGTAGTTTGAGCTCCAGTCAGGAAAAAGTCAAAACACAACATGTCTTGTTGCTCCGTTGCACTCTGGTCCATTAAGGCTGCTGTCAGTGGAGAAATTGGAATTGCAGGCTTTTCTAAAATAGATTCTGCTCCTCAGCTGATGTCAAGAGCGGCTGTTTGCATTTTTGGTGGGACGAAGTTGAGGTTTTTTTGTCCTATTAAACACCATATTAGCTGCTCTTTGAATGTCATGATGTTATATTGTTAGTTTGGGCGTTAAAATGTTTGTTAGTTTGGGTTTTTCCTTCAAATACAAAAAGAAAATCAGCCCAAGTGTGTTTGCAGACCGCGATTAATGACGCAAAAAAAGTAACAGCGACGGTGTGGCGGTGAAGAGGCGTCCGGGGGGGATGAACGATCAGCTTTGCGTGTTTATGTGCGCATACATATGCATGTGTTGAGTGGCGTTGGTCTGTCACCGCTCAGCCTCACACGGCGGAGTGATGCGACGTGTCACATGGATGAGCACCCACGTTACCCTTGACAGCGGTCAGAGGAGAGCAATTTCATTATGTCATCCGTTCACCTGGCTGTCACACACACACACGCCAACACACACGGCGAGAAAGGAATAACACAGGAGGCAGGAAAAGCATACATAGCAGCACATTAGACCACATACAGCCATAAAAACTTTATTTCATGGTTTGACACTTCACATATATTGTTGCCCACATAAATCACCTCTGTATATGTGCTCGCTTGGATGAGTGACAGTGTTGTCTGAGTGTGTGTGTGTGAGAGAGAGAGTAAGAAAGAGTGAGAGTGAGAAAGAGAGGGAGACTGACAGATTGCCAGCCTATCATACACCCATACACTTGCACAAATCTATCTTGTCAGAGCTCCGCAGCACGCCTGTGATTCCCTCGTCTCCTCACTTCTCCTCTTCTTTCTCCTCTCTCTCCTCTCTCTCTCTTTCTCTCTCTCTTTCTCTCTCTCTCTGTCTCTCCATGAAGCAAATCCAATACACTGTAACATTATCCGGGCCTCGCCTTGCTATTTGGATTCTCTCCCGGAGCCAAAAAGGCACACACAGGGCCAAATTGATTTTCCTGTTGCGCTAGATTTGTGACAGTCGAGCAGAAATCACATTGCTCAACCGCCAAACCTCCCCCCTCCTCGTCCTCCACCTCGTATATGCACACACAAAAAAACAGACTCTCTCTCTCTCTGCACACACACCTACTTCCTCCCAGTGTCTCTGAAGCAATTCGGAGCATCCTCGGAATATTTTTTTCCCCCTCCTTCCTCGAGACATCGGGGACGAGGCGGCCAGACGTTTGTCTCTCATCCGGATGGATGGTGTGGCGGGGAACCGGCGGGGCCGATGGGAGGGGGAGAGAGAGTGGAGGTCATCCAGTCAAAGTGCAGAACGCTGGGCTGTGAAAAAAGTTCAGTCCCTCAGTTAATATCGACTACAGAATCCGTCACGATGCTCATTTGTTTATGTGCGTTTAGAGCCTTCCTGGATATTTCTAGCTGCCGTTTGGCTCGAGTGTGTGCACATGAGCCGGGTTGACGACTCGTTGACAGCTTGTCAGTGTGGCGTCACTTCCTGTCAGCCTGAGTGTCACTTTTTTTCCCCCCCCAAAAAAAGTGCACCGAAGACGTATCCATTACCGGGCTGAACCTGCTGCACGTTGCATCAAGCTTCACACGAACTCGGCACACGAACTCAAGTTGTCATCAGCTTGAATCGCTGTTGCTGATGGGATGGAGACGATAAGGCTGCGCCAGGGTAAATCCCTCTACCAATTTCAGCATCGACAAAATTTACTGCAAGGAAAACATACCGCCAGGATCTAAAAGTCGGGGGAAGTTATCTGGGAAGCAGACTGTTGCTCCAGAATCCTCTGTGAATGTTCGGCTCGGTTCAGATCCTGTAGCTATCATCATTCATCGACCAGGGCATTTATATTGGTTTCTCTACTCAGTGTATGAGGTTACTGTACAAATTAAACTCAAAGTGACACCGTTTATCAGAGCTAGAAATGAAAACATGAAGAATGTGGAGTTCCTTTACAAAAATTATCCAAATCTAAGCTTTAAAATGTGATATTTCATTAAAATGACTTTATTATACATGTCTCACTTTATTTAAATTGCCAAAAAATTAACCATTTGCTCGAACCAGATTCTGTAAAAAACTAAAAAATTTGAGTTAATCAACACAAACAAGAAGCCTTTAGTGACTCGGCTGTGACCAACTGTCATGTCAGAAAAATTCTGTCACTATTCGGTAAGACTGGGGTGAACTGCAGGCTGTGTTCACATGAAGTCAAGTCTGAAAAAATAAAGGAAAATGTAGTATTACATCTATAGTATAAATGGTCACTATTTATATTTTTCCTACCTGTGGGCACTGAAAAATATTGTAGATGTTAATTTTTAAAAGCCACTTTATTCTATAAAATAAATAGTGAAGGAAACTAAACTTCCATTTTCCTCTTTTTGTCTGATTTACAGCATTGTAACTGTGTCAAACTGCAGAAATTTCTCAGTTCTCTCCACTTCCATCCATGGTTGTACTGTTTCCATCGAGGTGCAGGAGTTTATTTGGAGCCCAAAGTTAGTGAACATGTGGCCAAAAAACACCCAGACACAGCTCAAAGGACCGAAGCTTTGTTTTGTTAAATAACTGAACCATTTTAACCACTTAAAAACAAAAACTACGTCGTCTCTAT